TCAGAGTGGGGGAGGGGTGGGGCTCTGGGCACCACCAACATTTCTGCAAGCCTGCTGCCCCAGTGCCAGGCCCTGTGGCACCTGCCTCTCAGGCCAGAGGAGAAAAAGGGGGCCATGCTGAAAGGCAGCTGAGGTCCCGGGTGCCTGACAAGGGGCTGGGGAGACCTGGCACCCCCCATCGCTGCCTGAATGCCCTGGCGGGAGCAGGGGAGGGGGACTCACAGGCAGTTGTGCAAAACCTGAGGCAGCAGTCAGGTCTGGCAGCCAAATTCCTGAATCTCTGCCCAGGCTGCACCCCCGCAGCCGACCCAGGGAGTTACCAGCGGTCAGCCCCGGTGCACCTCAGAGAACAGATGTTCTTGTGTCTTCAACTCTGACCTGCTTCTCTGACCCGTGCCTCAGTTTCCCTTCCTCACCTGCCCAGCTTGCCTAGTAGCCTGTAAGCCCCCTGGAGCAGGGACCCACACGCCAGGCGCATGTTTGACCCCGACAACCGCCCTGGTGTAATAGCTGACGGGCCTTCTGCACTTCTCCGCCTCACGGGCTGAAGGCAAACCAGCCTTTGGAAATGAACCACCCGCCCTGCAGCTGGCTGCCCTGGGGGAGGGAGCCAGCCCCCGGCCTCTTTCCCCAGGTTTGTGCTGGTAGGACAGGCCTGCGGCAGCGAGTCCCTACAGGGTGGATGCTCACTTGGGATCCATGTGGCCCAGCCCAGGGAGGGCCCAGGACTTCCATATCAGCATAGGCCAGCGGGTGGGGGCAGAACAGGGCCACGATCCTACTGGAAGGGAAAAAGAAAACACCCTTCCCAACTTTAAAATACCATTTTATTAATAAAAAAAGAAACAAACAGTTACAGCCACAAACTGGGTCAGATCACTCCAGACACAGGGTCACAACCACCGTCCCATCCAAACCACCGCATCGGCTCGGGGCTACGGCCGAGAGCCCCAAACCGGCGAGGCGAGCCGCGCCAAGGGCCCCGGGAGAGGGCTGGGGGCGGAGGGGGGAGCGCTTGCTCTGTCCTGCCACCCTACCGCGGGTTTTGGCTTTTTCAAGCCGTCGGTCTTGGGCTCAGTCTCTCCGCAATGGACCGCTGGCAGGGTGGGGCTGGGTTCCCCGTTGCTGAAACTACGGGCCCAGGCACAGAGAAGGAGCAGCCGCAGACGGGACGCAGCACCGGAGAGCAGCTAAAAGAAAGCCCCAGAGAGCAGGGGAAGAACCAGCCATGGACAGAAAACTCAGCTCGAGTCACCACAACACAGACCTGGCCAAGCGCCGTTCCCAGCATCTCTCCCGTGATTGAATGCTGCTTCCGTAGGACCAACCGGATCTTCCGGGCAGGGCCAGGAACACAGGCCAGTTGGAGGCAAGGAAAGAGCAGTTTGGGCTGGATCAGAAAAGAAGTGAAGCCAGAGATTTGGGGATCAGATTTACACCCACCCCCCTGCCCCGGACCTCAACAACAGACGCAGAAGGATCCTTGGCAGAGAACCACAAAGGGCCAGATTTACATGAAGCAT